TTTTTTTTTTTTTTTTTTTTTTTAATTTTACACTCGATAAATTACACCAAGTGATTTTAAATCAGGATTGAGCGTTATGGAAGCAAATTGTCAATTTATTGCAAACGGTATTATTTGTATTTATTTAATCGCGTAATAAATTATTTTAAATACTTGTTTATTTTATTCCGGCGTTAATTTGTCTTTACTAGAAAAATATAAAAAAATATTTCCTTCTTTATTTTATTTTTATTTTTTCCCTTATTTATTTTCTCGTGCAAATACGAAAAACTATCATTTGTTATTTGTTTTATTTTCTTATTTGGAAATCTTTTGAATAAAAGATTTCTATTTCTATCTCACGTAAATATTAAACTAACGTTTAACAAAATCTTAACAAAAGTTCCGCAGTTCCTTCTAAATTCGCTAAAATGTCAGAACTTGGCGAATTTATTCTCAAAACACGTTTAATATTCCATCTATTTTAATCTCTCGTTTCGAATCGGATCGAAGTAGGAGATACTCGAATTAATTATGCCTCTCTAGACTATCGCAGTTGCGCATGTTTACATCGTTCCTCTTATTAATTCCTAACCAGACGTACGAATCTAACTGCGGAACCCCGTTCTCGAGTTATCCTTCCTTGCCTCGTTTTTAAAAGATTTCAATCCACGAAGAGAAACTCTTCTCGTGATGGAAAAATACTTGATATGAGAGAGAAAAAAATGAAGAAGAAAAGAAAAAGAAAGATGTATTCATAAATAATTCTCTTATTTTCCGCGCGCTTGTTACTTTCGGCTGTTTCTCTTCTGTCTTCCATCCCGTCTAAGTCATACAATTCAACCACGAAATTAATTATCGCGATACCATTAGCAGTTTCACAGTGATGAAAATGAGATTGAACGTTCCTTGAAAAATGATGGAAAAAGTAGGGGTCGCACAGAGGTTTCTTAATTAAATTGAATCGCGGCCTCCATTGAATCGTGAATTTGTAAAAACGAAGAGAATTTTCTTTTTTTTTTTTATCGAAAAATATTCCTGAATTGTCGAATAACCGAGGTATATCGTATAAGGAAAATTTTATTTTATTTTATATAATATAAAAATGTAATTCCGGAAGTTTTAAATTTTGTTCAAGAGGAATTTTTCGAATTTCTAAAGTTAATATTTTATTGAAAGGAACGTCGAATTCTCGAAGTCAATATTTTACTCAAAGGAACGTTGAATCGTGTTAACAGCTTTTGTAACAATAAAGAAGGATCTAAAAGAATTTTTACCACGTTTTATCCGCGATTTTCTCTTTCCTACAATTTTTCGAAAAAGAAAATTTACAGAAAAGAAAATAAAATTTTCAGGATAAATTAATAATATTGCAAGTTTGCGATTATATCTGCTTCGATAATAATTAATCAGATGTTGTTACAATCTCGAAAAGATCTCTAAAAAAATAAAAGATCGTAAAAAATAATCGTAATTATCTTTCGTTTCAATTATTTCAAGAATAAATTTCATTCTCGAATAATAATAAATAACAACGTATATAATTGGAAATATTTTTTAATTCATCAATAAAAAAAATAAATAATTAAGAATTAATTCACGAAGCATCGAGCAATTATCACGCTTGCAAAATTATTTTTAAATTTGTAATGTATGATACATCGTTATGCATTTCAGAGAAAATGTTTCATAAAATCCTCTCATATGAACATTAACTCCTCTTAATTGAACGAAAAATCATAACTCGTGACGAGAATTACATGGACTTCTACTTATATGAACAACCTGGTTATATAAATCTGCTCGTCCCCTCTGTCAGCTTCATATAAACGGAATTCTACTGTGTTTCATTACTCCGATATAGTAGTAATATTCTACTAAGGGTCGTAAATCCAATAATTACTCGTAACTCTATAATAACATCTTTCCATGCAAATATGAACCGATAATTCGAGGGTCGACAATTATTTGATTATCGATAACTATAGAGAAATATTGGAAAACGTTAAATTAAACATCAACGATGCTACCTCCAATTTTTCTCTACCTCTAATCCTAATTAATTCTTGATATTAATTAATCTTGATATACAAAATCACGTGGAGATAACAAGGGAAATATAAAAAATAATTTATCGTATACAATTACAAAATTCTATCAAGGACATATTATATCATATGGATTTGAGAGTTGCAAATTATTTATTCATCATCGATCATTTTGATGTACAGAATTTTTTTTAACAAAAAAAAAAAAAAGTGATAAAATATAAAATTAAGTAAATCCATGATTAATTCTATAACAACGTCTTTCCAAATAAATACGAAGATCGTAATTTTGTTTGATCTGGAAGAGGACTGGAAAAATATGAAAAAACCCAATCTACCTTTCACATCCATCCTAATCATCTCGGTACACGGAATTTTGTAGCAAAAATTCCGTGGAAATAATCAATTAAACGGATAACAGGGGAAATCCGAATGCAAAGCTCGGCCACGTAAAGCGTGGTTTATTCAAAAGAGCGGCGAGCCATCGATGAATCAGTCAGCTTTAATTCACGGTAAGCGCTCTCGAACCACTCGGCGCGCCGCTATATAGCCGGCTCGCAATAAATGCAATTTAAAAATGTAAATTTCCCCGCCGGCTACCTATGAGCTTTCTCCCTCCCTCTCTTTCCACCTCTCCTCTTTGTCTTTCACCTTCTCGGCCAGCCCACGACCCTCCAACACCACCTTCTTTTCACGATTTTCTCCGCTTTTGAATTTTCGTGGGCGAGCCAAATCGAAGGGAGAAGGGAGAGGAAATTCGACGATTCAACGGCCCAATTAAAATTTAATGCCCGGTGATACGTGGCGGCGTATAATTCCTGCGCCACGGTCCCGTTAATACAACGAAATTTTACGCAACGAAATGGATTACACAGGCGGTCCGCGATTAAAAATTATTTTTCCATTTATCAGGATATTTCCTCTTTGTCGCGATACACAGTCGTACATGGTCGTCTAGGTATTCATTGACTGAATACACGGCGCTACACGTGCTTTAAATTTACGATCTCTTTTCGTGTGCACGACACACGTCCTCTCGTGTCTC